CCACAAAGTAAACTACATCATTGCCGCAACATACAACGGCTGCAATAAACCATGAAATTAAAACTGATAACCATTATTTTTAGGAAATGTGTCCTTACCCTTCAGTAAAAAATTCATCGTTCATGCAGCAGCTGGTGAGAAAACAGATATTCCCTAAAATTCGCCCATTACGTGAAAACTGATCGCAAACTGGCCAGGAAATAAATAAGCTTTCTATTTCTCACAGCCCATCTGCCTGAAGAAAACAGCTACAGATTCCTAATGATAGTCCATCATATGACTTCTTTAGAGCCCAGTCACAGCTATAAGCCTTAGAGCACAGCTGACCGAGCCCAATGACTAAAATCCTAAACAGCTGAAAGAACACGCTCACATGTGTTCATTTTTCAGAAAGTCCACGGCTTTTGTTGCTTATTGTTTTACTTAGCATTTTACCGAGACGCAAACCTTTAAACCCCCGCTGTCTGGTTGAATTTAGCCACTCTGGATGTCTGGGCCCAGCCTGAGGATACATGTGAATGATTTTGCAAAGTGGAACTTGAATCTGCGACAGAATGACTCTAATGAATGTGATAGCTCAAAAAGACCCTGCAACGTGAACTGACATGACCTATTGATGTAAGATGATACTTAACCACACTATTAAATATTGTCCTCCCTGATATAGAACGCTTCACAGGTCAAATCAGCTCTGTGACATAAATTGTAATCATGTTTACAACATTTTACCAAATAAACATAACCAATTGATAAAATCAATGATTAAGGAAAACAATGGTTTGAATTGATATTCCACCATTTTCTTTTCCTGTTTATTGGTATTTTGGTGATATGCCAGAAATAATGCTTTTTCTGAATGTAAAATAGACAGTGGTAAAGTTCTACCCCTCCCCTACATGTTGCCAGCACGTCTTATTTACCAGCCAACTCATCTAAAATCAATGCTATGTTGTCCTGAAACCACTCTTATGACTCACTGAATCACCATGTTTGTATGAGTTAGTGAGAAGGCTGCTCTTTTTTGTATCTGTATTGTAAAAACATATCATAAGAAAATTAAGAAAAAAAAAAAAAGTTTCAAAAAATAGTGAGGCTGTATGTCAATACTCATTATGTACTGATGGCAAATAGAACAAAGCAATTTAATAGTGTTGCCCCTCCCCCACCTGTTTCTAGCCCAACCAATAAGACAGCTACTATTCTATGTTACATTATAGGGATATAAATTGCAAAAATTGACCACATCCTTAATGATATCTTAAAAATGATAACTTAATCATTCACTGATCCAGTTTCTTCCTATCCGATCCTATAAGAATACCTGGGCTGGTATCCGATAATGATCTTATTCAACTGTTGAATTAATTAACCATATATCTTGCCATGTGAGTGAAAGCTTTAGCCTTAAAATAAATGCTGTTTAGAAAAAGTTAACAAATTAAAACAGATATAAATTAACTTTATATTATTTATTATCAAATAAGCAACAAAAAGAAAGAAAAAACAGACCCATGTAAAGTGCACTGAACGCGATCTCCGTTATCCAATATTAAATCATCAATATCCGATCCAGTCATTTGTCAATATCGAAGCTATTATCCAATCCAGATATCCGATCAGTGAATCTCTAGTCAATAGTAGTGCTTTAGTGCGCATAACTAAGTAATAACAATGAGATTTTGAGGATAACATTATTATATGACCATGATACTTTATAACTATTTGTTTTTTCACTTAAGGCAATTATGCCATAATATTCTAATACTGACCAAAGCCTGCATACAAAATATAACTAAGACTTACAGTTAGTTTTGTTTCTATATGATTGATCCCGTTATTATTAGATATTTTTAATCAATCGAATCGTTTGTCATATAGATGAAAATTTTTATTTAAAAAAGCCAGGCAGTTATATTTCATAATAGCATTAGATCTTAATGCAATCAAATAATTCATTTAATCAATTCATTCAATTCAATTCTTTAAACTTTTTATTAAATGTAAGAATGCTTTTTGTTTCAACAAGCACAGTTTAGTGTTGTAAATGGTTAATATATATTCTAGAGTAATGACTTGTATTTGGTTGGAAAAATACAAAACAAGTTAGTTAACGGATGGGCTTACCACTGAGAAGACTGAACTTGTTCTAAAATTGTTGGTCTGTGTTTCATTAGAAAATATAAATAAAAATCAGGCAGCATTTTTGCTTTGTTTCATTCAGAAGTTATTTTACAGCCCTTGAGTTAGAATTGGCTGCTTTTCTATTGAAAGCAAGGACTTAAAAACCTTAGATTGTTTGTTTTAAAACACCATTCTTTCACAAATCTCCTAACATGTCTGTGTGAATCATAAAAGGAGAATTCCCAGAATCCCAAAAATGTTCAAAAATTAAGTCTCACAAAGTAGCCTAACCAAGGTTTTTCAGAAGTTAAATAAGAAAACTATCCATATAAACAGCTTTGTTTTCCTTTCTTTTTTTTTTTTTTTTTTTTTTTTTTTTTTTTTCACAGCATTGTAACAGTTAGGGTTTGGTATTGTGCTCCTACACATTCAGCCTGAATGTGATGTCATGCAGGAAAGACTCCTATTTTCCCATTGAAAGCTGCCAGTCAGCAGAGAGGAAAAAGAAGAAGGCTGATATGTACTGTCAAGCAGTGACCGGGCAGATTTCTCTATCTATATCAGAGGAGCCTCAGCATATAGATCCACCCCTACCTTTATATTTTTCCAATACGTCCTCGTAGGCTTGGAGGTATTCCTGCTCCTCGGACAGCACATACCCCTGCGGCGCGCACTGAGCCATAACCCAGGATCCACTAACTGGACGCTCACCAGCGACGGATCGGGACACAGCATGTGTGTCTCTTTGTAGCTCTACATGCGTGTGTGCTTGTGCGCTTCTGTGCATGTGTGTTTTGCTGAGGGCTGGAGAGTGATCGGCGCTGTTGTCGTTTTGAAGGAAACGCCCTGGATCCCTCCCTTGTCTGAGCTCTGACCAATGAACGACGTTTCCTCTCTGAGTTTATAGAAGCGATAGGAAGGACTGCACTGTAAAAAATAAAAACTCCAAGCCCCTCTTATGTATATATTGTACAGCTACTATTGTTTGAATATGAATTGAAATGAGCTGATTATATGTTTAAATGAATAGAAACAATAAATATTCAGGTAATTAACATTATATAAAAAACCTTTAATATTATAAAAAGAAGAAAGTTATTTTTAAAAAGCCAATTTGATGGTGAAAAAGCAACCCCCCATCCATTTATAACAGTAAGTGTAAAAGGTGTGTTTTTGATCTGCAGTTATTAATATTCTGTTATCATACATAAGTTACAGACTGTTTCCTAGAAACGATAACTATACTCCTTTAACAAGAATATTTGGGTAATTCCAAAACAGGACAGGTTCAAACACAACAACCCTCAGATTTTTTTATATATATTTCACAAATTTATATACCATATGAGCAATGAAAACCAAAGATACATTAGTACACCAAACCTCGCCAAGAGGTTGGCAGGTGTGCAGGTGTTTCTCACAACAAACATCTTCCCTTTTTGTAATAGGCTTTAAGGTTACTAAACTGTTAGAAACCTTATTAAAGCATTTCTTAATCATACTCATAAATGAAATTCCAAAATTTACTTCAACCAAAGTAACTTATTGCTGTCCAACAGCCACTATAATATCGTAAAAGTGACAAAAACATTTCTACAATGTGTAGCGCTGTTAGTGCTAAGGAATTTAGGGTTGAATTATGCATGTATACCTTTCTGTAGGACAGATCTGTTGGTCAAGATTAATGAAATTGAAAAAGGTGGACTTCTTGCCCATAAAATTGTTTTATATCTGCTTGAAATATCCTCTTGATCAAGACTGTTAAATAATCCTTATGCAAAATCTTCGATTTAAAGAAAATAACAATTCAAGGCTGAGAAAAGCAGTAGGCAAACACCAGTGTTCATACAAGCCGTGATGGAGGACTCAGGTTTGGTATCAACAGCCATGCGAATATGGTTGGTGCACTTGGTTAAGCAAACGTGCTACTTAACATGTTTTATTTGGAAATAAACTTGACTATCTTTACACAGTAACTGACTTGTTATTAAATGAAATTCAGTTTATTAACATAGCACAGAATCACAACACCTCATCTCATCTTAAAATTAAAATAAACTGGTAATAGCTCCTGCCATTGCATAGCCTTTGCATCATGCGTGTTACAGGGTTTGGCACATTAGATGGGCACTCTGCTACCAGAAGGATTGGATTTGTCTAATGATATTATTCTCAGAAAGAAAAAAAGATATGGTTGAGATATATCACACACTAAAACATGGAGCAAGCTAGGGTCATCAAGGTGGGGAGATTTTTTCTAATTCTAAAAGTAAAAAAAAGTAAATAAAAAAAATACTCTACCAGTAACTTTAGTCCTACAGCATTCAAGTCTTTCACGGTTTTTGTAATGTTGTTTTTGTTATGTTATTCTATTGATTCAATAGTAAAAGGTATAATAAAATATCCATGATTGTTATGGTCATCTTTTACAGTGTGCAAAAGAAGAGCGTCCCGTCAGTTCATAAAAGTCGCGCACATTTTATTGCTCTCCACCTGCTGACTTCATGCCATTTCCATACATCCATTAAACTAAAACTAACCTGTATTTATTTCTTATATAAATCGGCTGCTTTCAGAGCAGATCTTTATGACCTGCAATTATGCCAGTGATTATATGAGATTAAGCGGTATCAAAGTAACACTATAAAACGATTAGTAGCCGTAAAAGAAACTCTACGCGCATTTTAACACGTTGGGGAAAAGATTTAAAGACCCTATTACTGTCATGGATAATTAAGGCTGAAAACAAAAAAAAAATCAAAAAAAAAATCACAGCAACCACAAAACTATGCATTTTAAATCTGTAAAACTAAATAGCTACACCAGATTTATTTTTATTTTTTTCCTTCTAACTTAACATGAAGGTGCGCGTCCCTCACCTGCTATCCTGAGCACGGCTCTCTCCGCCGGATCCAGCACGGATCCACCCTGGATCTTCCTCTTGTAGCGCTCATGTCTCGGCAGGTTCCACGGCAGAGTATCGCCGGGTGCGGGCGATGCCGAACCGGATTTAAAGCTGCTGTATTCATCCTCATCCGAAATGTCCGCTGAGGAAGACATGGAGCAGTGCAGGGAAGGGTTCCCCGAACTGGAGCTCTGTGAGACAAAAGGAACAATGTCTTGATTATACACACACACATTTATATATATGAGTGCATATAAGGTGACATAATAAATGAAGAGGGGGGAAAAAACGCAGCCAGAACATGATCACATTTCTCTCACCATGACGGGTCAATGTGCGTAATGTGCGCGTATGTTGAAAGTGACATAGTGACCCAAAACAATAAAAGACTGAGCCAAATGAAAGCAAGGCGAGAAGCAATAGCATCTAGCTCCCCCGCCAGGTCAGATCTAAGACTTACCACAGTATACATGGAGACCTGTCAGCTGGAAGGGAAGAAAAAATACACAATCCAATTCGGACAGCAATAACTCCCCTTTGATTCATCTATTTCAGGGGAACCACTCCCTTCCTGAGACCCCTCCAGATACTGGGTTTCTTCTAAGGAATCATCAGGGATGCGGAGTGATGTCAGATCTCCTGAGGATGATGCCGGTGGATGCTGAGTGTCGAGCGTCTCTAGACTGTGATGGGAAAGCAGACTGCATGTGTCTGCGCGTCATAGCCCGGCAACCAACAACAGCAGCAGCAGCTCCAGCCCTGACTGCGATGTTAGAGCGCCATCTCCTACACAAAGGAATGGCTGTAAACATCCCCCCTTTAAACGGGAACAATAAGTTCCAGAAACACAATGCATTCATGGCGATGATTTTAGGTGTAATTATATAAAAGCAAACAGTTCCCAGCACAAAGAACAGTATAATATGACTTATATCATTATGTTACCTGCAAGAAGTACAGCTGCACAGTAAGATTACTCTTCCCAGATTTCGCAGGTTCCTTTAAGGAAAGTTAGGCTTCTCATTAGCTAATGTTAGAGGTAAATGCTTCCAAACAGCAATTTCTGTAGTTTCCTGCTGCACCCTGGCACTCCCAGGTTGAGCAACAGAACAAATACAGTCCAACACATCCTTAAGGAAAAGGGTTGGGTGAATATATACTTGTACAATCACGTTCCACTAAGCTAGTATTCAGGGCTTTTAACAAGGGATTACCAAGAAAGTAACACTTTGGCTCAAAGATTCTGGGTGCAACAAAAACAATTACTCTTTTTAAGTATATTGGTTGATTTAATTTGCTTTAAAATGGACTAGATTTAGTTGAGAGTCAAACACGGACCTAAAGTTGGTTTCTTGAAATATTACAAGCATTTTTCAAAATGTAACAACACAAAACTAAAAGAGAAACAATTTCAAGAAATATAAAGTATTCATTATAATTTCCTAAAGAAATATTGAAAATCCTCATTAGTATTACAGCAATCAAACACGTCACTGCATCAATTTAGCTTTTTAGAGGTGTTTGCTGGTATTCTGATAATGTCTCTAGTGATTAACTCAAAGGATTTGACGCTGGAACTCATCCTAATCTTTAGCTCCTTCAACAGAATCTGTTTTCTATTCTCATTCATTCTAAAATGGGAAAAGGATTTCCAGTCAGAGCAAATATGCTGACAAATTTGAAAGACTACTTAAAGCAAAATCTTTCTTGGGCGTGAATACTTTTTAGTTTAGCAACCAACAGCCAACACTTTTTTTTTTTTAAAGGAAAACGTGTACTTTACTCCAATCAACTTAATGGTGAGTTTAATTGATCTGCTAATTTATATCAGGAGTTGGACCTTGAATCTAAAAATAACATCAATCTAAATTAAAACCAATAAGATTCTTTATTTTTTTTTGCAAACTATTGTTACTAACACAGCAATCAGTATATTTGTTAAATTGTTTAACTGTTAAGGCTATTTGATATTGCATCTAGAGATTGCTTGATAATTTAACATTTAATTCTTTTTTTTTTTTAAATCTCAGACATGGTTGTAAACAGTTTGCATAACCAATGTGACACTAAACTGGTGGATGCTTGGTAGCCTCTGGTATTCCCTTTTTAAATTCAGATTTAAAGGGCCATTCTGCTCATATTGCTGTACGTGAATTAAGAAAACAAGATTTTTCAGTAAGAACAGAACACCATAAGTGCATGAATGAAGCTTATTTTGTTCTGGCTGTGCCTCACTGGCTGCCTTACATCACCATACACACTCCTGACATGGTTTTTCACAATTGGCTCATTTTTTGTGAGTATAAAGACATTTATTGAAAAGAAAACATTAAAAGTCTATCATTAACTTATCAGACAGGATAAATATTGTTTTAAAAAATAATGTAATTTAATTCAATAAAAAATCCTTTATTACTCCCAAAGGGAATTTAAATAAATAAGTTATAATAATTATAAGATTATTATACTAAATAGTTTAACATAAATTAATATGGTGAAGCAATGAAGACCTTGAGGTGGATGTGTACCTGCTAAGCAATCCTTCTATCATATTTGGCAAATGCAAGTAATTGGAGGGTGCAAAAAGGATGGGTGATGTAGAAAAATGTCCTGCTATGGTGATTGTGGGGTTCAATAATGCAATAATATCAAATAAAGTAAAACCAATAAACATTCGAGCAACTTCTATGCTATCTTTCATCATACCAGGAGAGAAGGATTTGTAGTTTGAAATAGATGCAGCATCATTAATTTGGTATATATTTTTACAAATACAATATTTTAACAGAATTATTGAAAACAAAAAAATATTTTCTATCAAATAACACACAATGACACAAAAGATTTGAAAGTATCAATGGTTCGCTCATGATACAGAAACTCAAACAACAAAATGAAAACAAAACTATGAAAAATAAGATTTCAGTATTTGAATCTTGTTTTGTTTTTTTAACATCTATAAATAGACTGGATGAAATGTTTATGTGAAGAATTTTTCAACAGGGCTATATAGAGTAATAAAAATAGAAACTGCAGAACTGATGAAAGCGAGGCTCTGTTATTAATAGCAGCATCACTGCATCCCGTTTCCTCAGGATGAAACCAAGTCTTTCAAAGGTTACCTAATATTGCATTTATATTACCTCTGCTAATTTCTTAGAGTGAAATGAATATTTAACTGAATCTTTTTTACGCTGTATTTTACATTTAACAAAACCTGTAATATTTAAAAAGGAATTATCTAAAATCACCTTTATCTGATAATTTCTTTGCTCTGTAGATAGTAGATGTAAAGATGCAGTCTTCGACTCATTTGCTAAAATATTCTGTTTTTAAACATCTATGTGCAGGATGAAAGTTTCTTTAAATGCTGGATGTGAAATTAGACACGTCTGCATAGGCCTCACTTCCTGTCAATGAAATGTATTGCTGGTAGCTCCTTTGCATCGGTCAAGGCCAGTTAAAGAGATTAAACGCTGCGGACTTGTTCTTATCAACATAACCCCTGTAAATCTGTCATGTTGATGGTGTGAGGCTATATCACAAATGAAGATGGGATGATAAACTTAATCACACCAGTTATTACATTTTCTGATTTATGTTGAATCCTAAATCTGTTTCATTAGCTTGGAAATGTCATGATTTAATCTGTTTTTTAAAATGTGTTGTCATTCTTTAGCGGCCGGTGGAACTGCAGAAAAATTATTGTTTAGATGTATGGTGAATCTATAATGAGCACTATTTGATCACTATTTTATCAAAAGTGAAAATAAATGATATAAAAAAAATTTCTGGTGCAAAACTATGACTACCTCATCTCCAGTTATCATGCAGCAAACAACAGGACTAATCAATAGGGTCCTTTGAACTCTTCTTCACTTCCAACATCACATAAGAGTTCACAAAGAAATGCCAGCTCAAACTAAATTTGCAGTGTTAATTAAAGGTTAAGTAGTTAAGTAAAACAAGATGCATCATATGAAGAGTATAAAGGCATGCCCTCCCCTTTGAAAAAGCTTTAGGGTATTTTAATGAATTCTGGATGCTAGCAAACAAAAGCCATAATTCTGTTGTGAAAGAAAATATAATTTTTTTTATTTTGCATAAATAAAAATCTAAATAGTTTTGCAATGATCTCTTATCTTCTTTCTTTCTGATACCCTTAAAAAAAACATCTAAAGTCACAAAATTATTAAAATTGAGGCTATCTGTGTGCAAAATAATCTCAGTGGAAATACAGCAGTTCTCTGAAGACCTGAAAGGTTTTTCATTTTGAGAACATGATAAATCAAACCAATCAACAAACAAGCAAAACAATTTTCAAAGTTACTCTTTTTGTAGGACAGTGCAAAGGTGTGAAACAAAAAACACTTTGCAAACCCTGAACACAATATTCCCATCTGCCACAGTGGTAGCTTCAAGCAGTTGGGGTGTTTTTCTGCAGCAAGGACAGGAAAACGGATTCTTAATTTTGAAAGAGAGTGAACTAAGGTAAACTCTGGAAGAACACTGGCTAAGGGGCTGCAAGGTAGATATGCTGGGAGTAGAGGTTTGCCCTCACAAAAACATACAAGAGCTATTTATATATATATATATATATATATATATATATATATATATATATATATAATTAATTATATATATATATATATATATATTCTTAGTTGGTTTATCACATAAATAAAATACAATGAAATTTAGGATGGAAAAGTGGAAAATGTTTAAAAACTTTTGGCAACAGAATGCATAATGAAACAGTTCTAATACCTTTGCAGTTCCCTGAATAATGCATTTTCCCTTTTAAATGTATCTTATAACTATACATTTCTTAATTAAATTATGCAAGTAATTGCTGATTTGTTATTGGAGAGAAAAGTATTTCTAGACAAAGGAGATAAGTGTTCATAAACACCAACAAACCAAAGGAGCCAATGTGGCCACACCAAATAAGACCTCCCCAGCTAAACAAAAAACAAACAATCATTGTTCTGATAAGGAGATGGGTTCTGTCTCTCCTTAGTTCACTTTTTGACCACACAATCTGAATAAGATAAAGGTCTGTGACTGATAAAATCATTGAGGAATGACAAGCAGAGGCAAATACAGTACGGATGTTTACTCTTAAAGCCGAAGGATTGAAACAAACAGATAGGGCTGGACTGCCAGCAGGTACCGACATGAACAGCAGGACTGAGTCAAACTGAACAAATATCAATTATTTGGAAGCTGAACTTCTGGGCTGGAAAGGAAGGGAAACATCCATCCATCCATTATTGTGGGGCACTGGAGCATATTCCAGTAGTCAACGGGCGAGAGATAGATCAACCGAACATTTTTGGAAAACATACAAACTCCACACAGAAAGGTCCTAGTTTCCCCCAGGACTCAAACCCAAAACCCTCTGGCTGTCAGGCGATGGAGCTAACCACCACCCCACCATGCCGTCCCAGAAGGGCCCCTGACTTATTCATGTCTTTGGCTTAAAAGTATCTTTTCTTTCCATGTGCCTGAAAAGCATTTAGTAAAATTAGTTAGTACACTGCAAAAACAGTCTAGAAATAAGTAAGAAAAATCTTAAATTAAGTGTATTTACCCTTAATTCGATTAGGTAAATAAGATGGTTTGCCAATGGAAAGAGCATTTTTTACTCTTAAAATAAGATAATCAGGTAGTATGCACTTGAAATAAGAAAATGTAATTGCTTTTTTCTTATTTTAAATGTAAATTGTCTTGTTCCATTGGAAAAGTGTCTCACTTGCCTCCTCAATTCAATACAAACTCCGCCTATTTTAAGAAAAAAATTACTTATTTAGAGTTACATTTTTTGCAGTGTAGTAAATCAGTTAGTAAAAAATATTTAGGGGACTTCATTTTTGTATGAAATAGAATAGAATAGAATAGAATAGAATAGAATAGAATAGAATAGAATAGAATAGAATAGAATAGAATAGAATAGAAAATAAAATCCCCTAATTGTCCTGCAACATTAAGATCCTTATACCACAGTATTATTAATGGCTCAAACAATATTTGGAGGTTACCTTTCCAAAGATATGACCTCTAAAGAGTTCATAGTTCAAAAGACGTATAAATAAACATTTGTGTACGAATCTCAAGCATCAAAAACATGTCCCCGGTTAGGGTAAAATTATATAAGCAGCATCACTTTATCATCTGTATTAATGATGGTTCCGGAAGAATACCTACAGCTTTACGTGTGGGAGTGACTTGAACAGACTGGTAAAACTCTGGCGGGAGCCTCTTCTTGACTTTACGTTTTCTTAAAGTCGAGGATAAGTCGGGTTCACTTTCTGGAACCTCAACCAGACTGGGCTTTTCTTCTGTCACTCTGACATGTGTGCTCCGTCTTAGGTGGCGTGGACTGTGCCTAAAACCCTGGGAAACACAATCAAATGTCAAACTGGTGAGAAGGTGACGGTGTCGACAGAGAAAATGTAATATTCCTGACATAATGGTACAAAAATCGTGACTTTATTGAAGGATTTTATTTGTTTTTAAATGTTTTGTAAAATGTAGCTGCATACTTTTTTTAAACCCGTGTCTATTAGTATTTTTATTCTGTCCGCTTAACTTCCCACTTGCCACCAATTATATTGAAACTGATCAACCTTTAATCAGGATACACTTTCCTGGTAGTTATCAAATCTTTTGGTAGGACAATGTGTTACAAACTGGTTTAGCAAACTTTACCTTTCAGCCATAATTCAGATGGTAGTTTTGGAACAAATACAGCACTGTTCTGATTAAAAATGAGTAAAATGTCATGAAGACAGCTGTGAAACAGCAGGAAGATGAAGGAATAAAAACTAGAAATAAATATCAAAAATGCAAATGCTGAAGCAAAAGGGCTATAAAGAGAGATCAAAATGACCAAATTCAAAGCCTATAGATGATATAAAACACGAGACATCACAGGAAGAATGTGATGCACAAGGTGATACACGGTGGTGGCAGCATCATGATTAGGAGTTGCATTTCTTCAGATGGAATTCACTTTCTGTTAAGGTGAAAATAGGTGAAGTTACTTCAAATTTGTATCTTCTTGAAAGCTTAACAAGAAGAATGATTTTATATTTTTGTGTTTAAGTTAGTTCAAGCAAATCAATATAAATATTTCAATAAGAGAAAGTAAAAGTTTAAAAATGACCAGCCACAGTCGAGAAATATACCTGACAGAAGCTAACATGCAGAGGGCCAGTGAACAAAGCTCTTCCCACAGTCATGAGATGCTTTAGGACACCTACTAAAGAACATTCAATGCTGAACTTGAATTATGACAGCATGTCCTACTGTATCTTGGGAGAATATTTAAAAGAAGTCAGAATGGTCATAATTTGTTACATGCAAAGCAAACAGTATTTTATACAGAAATAACTGATTAAGTATTAAACTTCATATTAAACAATGATGCATGCACTGGTGATGAACAATAACAATGATTCATTCAATTGCAGCCAGATGGAAGTCTAGATATACCATGGGAACTCCAACCACTCCAAAATAAAAATAAAATTTTTTTTTCTTTTTGTCTCTTTCTTTATAAGGTTATTAAAAGAGACCAAAAGATACAATTCAACTACACTAAAGGTCTAACTGTCCTATTTTACCGCCCTTGAATATGATACCAGTCTTTGGGGAATCAATATCCCTCAGTTCAGCATGGCCTTCTCTGTAATCCAGTTCTCGTTTTTTTTACATTTGAAATATTTTTAAAATGACAGTTTTTTTCTCTGTCTGAACAAAAATAGTCCAAACTATTAAACACTACATTAAATTGGAGTTTGAAATATGTATATAAATGGAAATTGTTGCTCTCCAAGCATTGTTTTGCCTTTACTGACACTACATTGTCCCAAAGCCAGGAGGATCCAGCCAATGCAATTCTTGTTAACTATTAAAGCTTTTTACTGACTGCTTAATGTTTAGATTTAGACTTTAGACTCTAACAGAGCCCAGTTTCCAAAACTGAAAAAGGAGGAAAAAAACTCAAAGACTAGTGCGCTTTTTGTTGTGGCTTTCATCTGACCTGCAGTCAAAAAGCTTTATCTACGCATCATATTGCACAGAAATGGAAACAAAACAAAACACATGTAGAGTTTTACTGTTTTATCTCAAAATGTAAAGCCTCATCGCTTACATTATTTATCGGTAATAGTTGCGCATTGCGCACATCCAAGTATCCGAACATAATCATGCAGTCCTGAGTAAAAGTTCAAAGATCTTAACTTTTTTATTCTTTTATTTCTTAAGTGATAGACTACACCACAGAGCATCCAAAGTGTATGTGGTGCATTGAAGTAGGGGAAAAAAAAGAAAAAGTGAAAGATTATCCTACCTCTGATCGAAAATGATGCGTTCGGAGACCAACTATAAGACAGATAGCAGATGTTTACTTTAGATTAAACATTTATTATGTGTGAAATTCGTGTTTTCAGCATAACAGTTCACATAGTTATAATGTCTGTTAACGACCAGCACATTAATGAAGGAAAAAATATGACAGTCAGGGAGTATGAGATGCTTTTGGCCTGCGTTGCACTCACCGCGGCTCCTGGAGCGTCCTCCAAGCACTGATTTTATAGGATGCTTTCCATTCCGGAGCCTCCGATGCCAGCAACAGAAAAATAAAATCGTTGCAATAGTCCCCAGCAAAAGCAGCAAAAGCAACAGCACACACTGAATACTGTAGGGCCTCAGCAGCACCAAAAACGCCGCAGCGATCATCATAAGGCGAAATATAGGACAGCGGATTTAGCTCCAGACTGCTGCCTCCTCTCCTGTGCGCGCTCCCTGCGCTCAGAGTTCAGGATGCGGAGAAAGACGCTCGGTGACAGACGTGGAGCATCACTGCAAAACGTGGAGAGCTCACAGGGTCAAAGTGAACAGTCCAGACTGTTTTCTTTTTTTCTTGTGAGGTAGAAAACATGACTCAGCAGAGACGCGTTTTATTTATTTATTTATTTATTTATTTTCCACAAGGGGCAGCAGGAGTCAGCAGATTTCACTCTGCAAAGTGTACTGCCCACAAGGATAACGCTGAAGCTGTCCTATTGGGCAATCTGATCTGTGTCTGTCCCCTGAGATAGCCTGCTTCCGATGCAAAATGATGACAATATATTTTTTTGCAAATATGCGATATCCTAAAATACCTGGTAATGTTAATGAGATGACTGCATTATGAAAATGTAAGCATTGGAGAGGGGAGTCTCACTGGCACTGACAGAAACCTCTCCTGCATACAATGTATCTAATCTCCTGATTAAATAAATTGTAGATGTCATTTTTATTTATTTATTTATTTATTTTTATATTTTTTTTGTTGCTGTTCTAAAATAGAGTCACACAATATTTCAATAAAATATGAGCGTAATATTAAAGAAAAGCATGGAAAGCCTTATGCTTTAAATAATGATGTTGAGAATTATCATTTTTCACGTCTCCAAGGAAACACGAGGACGTCGTAATGACGTTTCACAGAATGTAGCGGAAACGTGGAGCTTCTAGATCGAAGGTCAGCATTGTCGCCATATTGTGAGTGGCATGTTTTTTGTTTTTTTTTAGCTGTGCCTTCACATTAGAAATAATGAATCCTTTTTTGTTACAATGGGAAACTTAAATAAATAGTGTAACTGTCTTATCTTCGAAGCAATACTGTGTCATTTCCAATCAATTCACATAGCACTAATGTTTTGGGTTTACCCAGTGGCAACATTTAGTTACCAGCAGAGCTAGAGTGTGGCCTGTGCTTTTTTTTTTCATTTTGTAGGGGCACAGAAGGATAAGAAAAACACACACATACACAAAAACTGAAAATTGAGCAAGAGTGCATGGTTTATTTTATTAACTAAACCACAAAGCCTGAGCCAAACTGTGATCCTATCTTAGTATGACTAAAGCTTAAAGCCATAATTTCTGAATTAATTGTTAAAGTCATCGCAAAAATATTTGATTGGTCCAAGAGATTAATCACTTACCTTATCTTGTGTCAAAGCATGCCCTCATGAGAAATTGATTTAGAGTGACACTGCAAAAACTGATCTAAAAAGTAGAAAGGCTCTTTAAATAAGTGAATTCGCCCTAATTTATGCAAGTAAAATGAGCTACTAATATGGGTACTATGCATTTGAAATAAGATAACAAAGATGTATTTTTCCTTATTTTGAACATAACTTATGTTATTCCATTTGTAAAATGTCTTACCTCCTCAAGGGAAAACTTCAGGAAAATTACCTACTTATTATGTTTTTGGCTGTGCTTTCAGTACAGGGGTCACAACCAAGAACAATTCTGCAAGGGCACCGTCCCCTGTTGGCCCTTGTCTAGAACAAACCATGGGTTTACAAGTGTCACAATGATTAATAATAAAAATCATAATAATGATTAAACAGTTGGCAAAACTAATAGCCTACTATTACTACTACTACCAATTAATGATATCCAGCCTTATCCGTTCCAACCTATACTTTCCCACTATTTGCCTGTTCATATTTTTTTATTTAGACTGTTTATTCAATTTTGCATACTTCAACATTAGATTCTTCTGTGCCGCCTGTCTTGTTCACACAAATCAGGCTGCCCTGGCACTTAAGATGAAAGTTAGCCTCCATTAGTCATCCACATTTGTTTGATTTCTTTGCCATTATTTGTATACAAAATATTGAATATTATACATCTTGTATATCTTTTCTTGAATCTGATCGCATCCCCTAATTACTTATTATAGGGCTAGTCGAGCCTAAATACATTACGTCATTATCTATAACTTCTACCCATTTTAATTCCACTATTATTGGTAATAATTCTCTCGTGTACCTCCCACATGCTTTATCTGTTATTCTTTTTTATTTCATCCTGTGTTAATATAAAAGCTGTGCCCACTCTATCATTTACTATTTTGAAGCATTTGTATAAATTACAGTATGTTCTGAATATTCTTTTTATACAACTGTCCACCTTTTACAATCTAGCTCCCTATGGATTCTGAAAAACAAGACACCCGCCTGTTCGGCACATACTGCTGTCAAAAAGAAGCGCACGATCTACTCGTGACGTAGGCAGAGTTGTCTAGCGGCATTTACGTTGGTTTGGAGTTTTGTAGAAGCTAACCACCAACAGTGTGAGAGTCACGAGAGGACATTTGGTAAGCTGGTTATACGTTTTATTGTCATATTAATATGATAAGCGTTGCAAAAGCCAAGCTGTTTTGTTGCTGGGAAGGTTGGCAAATTCGAGTCGTTGATGCAGTTGGCAAGTAGCTAGCATAACGTTAGCCTACGGGAAGTGTGCTGTGCTCCGAGCGTTTATCCAAGCTTTCACTGCTTATGAAGTTTTTAAGCTAGTGATTAGCAGTGGCATATATCAACGTTCTAACTATGATTATGTAAAATATATTTAAAACATGGATTTAGTCAACGAAATGTATTTAGCCTTATTTTACAACCAGTTCAGGTAGCACTTGAACGTTGCACATTGCGCGCGAGCTTTCGTCCGCCCTCTGCTGTTTGTAGGTTGTATTACAATAACACTGATTTTAAATGTTCGACACTGATTTGCCTTGATTTTTCACAGCTGCTCCAACGCTACATACCCCGGTGTTGTTATATATATTATGTAAACAATCTGGATGATTTTCCAACGTCAGTGTTTCTAATTTTCCTCCCCCATTTTTTTTTCTTCTTCCTCTCACAGGCTAAATGTCTTCACCAACCCAAGTAGAAGATGATGAGCTGGAAGATGTGGAGTTTGTATCGGTGAGTTGTGTTTAGCTTTTAAGATCGCAGCAGTTTCCAATGTTGTCTACTTTAAATTTTTATTTTTTTTACTTTTTCATTTATTTCAAGATTTTGAAAAAAAAAATATTTCTCAAATAATCTGGATCATCCATCCATTTTCTGACATGCTTAATCCCAAGTGGGATTAATAATCTGGATCATTGAATCCAAAATCACTCCACATAAATAAAGCATGAAACACTACCACATTGATCCTGAATATAGTTCTACTTTGCTAAGTTGCTAACTGTGTTTTTAATTTTAGGAGGGTCCTTTAAATCAAGTGCTTGAATGCATTGACCTGCTGAGTGACAGTGAGGATGATGGATGCTCATCAGTGGAAGACATGGTGAGTGGCTAAAGGCCATCTGTTTAGAAAAGAAAGCACAAATAAAACTTTGTAACTTTGGTTATTTTTTTCATCTCTAGCTTGAAGACAAAATCAGTCGTCATAAAGCTCATGTAACGTCTACACTTGACAGACTGGCAGATAAGGTAGCCCAGGAGAAAAAAGAGAGAGCAGCTAAATTTAGAGCATTTAAGGTAAGGCTTTAGAATTTTCTGCAAAGTCCAAAACTGTATCTTAAAAACTCTACAAGGACTGTGAAAGAATACAAATGTTACTGCGAGGGATTCATACATCTTAAATGTGACATCTTGTGATGAGACTTTACAACCTGAACACTGTATTACATTATGTTTTTGGGGGTCTTATATAGATAGTGGAAGGACAATAGTGCAAATGTTTAAGTGTTTTTACAGTTCATTCTAAAAACTGTGTTGTCCAATGACTTTGAATCGGGGCAAGTATATGTATCATGTTGAATTTTCCTCATGTCCATGGTTTTATACCACTTTATATATTTATGGCATTAAATGGCATTAAACAAAATACAATGAAGTCAGAGGTTGCTGATAAGGTGATATAAAGTGGAAAAAATATTCAGGGTGTTGAAGTATATTCAGTGCATATTCAATGAACATTATATCACTAGTGACATGAACTTAATTTTCTTTCTCCTTCAGATAATGTTGTTTAGCGCCAAGAATATAAATCTGTTACCTCAACCAAAAGTTTACATTACCTTCTTTCCTAATTCTTGGGGATTTATCATGAATACAAACAAATAGAATTTAAACATGATTGAAATGGCAACATGCTATAAACAACCACGTTTCATTTTAGTTGTTAATGTTTTTCAGTATTGCAAAAATTAGAATTAACAGCTTTTTCTGATTGGTTGCCTGTTTTTATTGTGATGAAGAAAGTCACAAACATTGCCCCCCAGTGGCCAAGGCAGGGAAAGCATAAAACTTGCTTAACTTGAACAACAATGCTGCATGTTTTATCCTATTAAATATTAGCGTTCTGCTTTCTGTCTCAGTTTTTTCTGCTGAGTTTGATTTATTGTTTGTTTACTTCATAATGGGACGGTGCATATTAATCATCATGAGTACATCATGTAAACTACCGTGTAAATATGCCAGGTTTAACCACTACGGCTCATTTTCATCTGTAGTCCAATATCCTAATTAATGTACTAATATTGCTTTTTTTTTTTTTCAGGAAAAACAAATTTTACAAAAAGCTCATGGGCAGCAAGAGCTGGCTGGTTCGTCAACAAATGGCGTGTCCATTGAAGCAAAGCGCTGTGTGGACATGTGGTTGAGGATGCCAGGTGAATTATGGAGGATATTCGCAACTTTTTGTGCTTGTAATAACTTTTACAGAACTGGGTTGATATTTCTCTAAACTAGGGCTGCAACTAACAATTATTTTAATCTGTAGATATTTTTTTTCGGTTAATGAATTAATAATCGATTAATAATCCCATAGCCAAAGATTCTTTAAAGAAGACCTTTTATGAAGTTAAAACTGGTGAAACTCAAACTTTTCCACTTCTGGATAGAGTATTTTGATGGAGAAAATTATTATTTTTCATCTTAAATGCAAAACGTCTATATATTTTTTACAATTTTTGTATAATTACTGCTCTAAGTGACTTGCTCTGACAGTTAAAGGCATGTTTTAGAGTCTCTATACTCCAGTTAACGATTAATCGATTATTAAATAAGTTGATCGTTATTTCAATAATCAATTAATCTGATTAATTGTTTCAGCCCTACTCTAAACTAAAATGTCTAATTACCTGCTGAGATTTCACATGGTACTAAAGATGTCCTCAAGTAAAAGCAGCTGAGACTCATCTTGCGTCTCATCTTACATCTATTTAGGCCTTAAGCCCGGAGTGATCAGCACTGGCTCAGGAAGGAGACGCACTCAAGCTGCTTTCCCGACAACCAGTTCAAGCAGCCACACATGTCCAGTTATTAACTGTGGACGTGTTTACGAGAACATCTCCCTCCTTGATGGGCACTTGAAGCGGTAATCTCAGCTCTTGGTCATGGCAGTGTTTTTTTGTAGGGTTTACCGTGTCATGAAGATGTTTTGTGCTGATGTGCAGGTTTGATCACTCCCCATGTGACCCAGCGATTCACCTTAGAGGAAGTCCGTCCGAGTTCTTCGCTTGCGTTGCCTGCGGTCTCTGCTTTCAGACCAAAGAAGAATGGAAACGACATATTGAATCCAAGGTCTGTTTTCAAGAAGGAAGAGATTTCATTGGCTGTGGAGGTTAAGTTGATCAATTTTAACTTTTATTTTCTAGATAAGCTCATATAGCAGTGATAATCACAGCTCTGATCAGACATATCAGAGGATTGTGTGCTTTGCTTGTCCTGCTTGCTTCCTCATCTTCAACTTACGAGACGAGTGTCTTCAGCACATGTCTGACAAAAACCACTTCACTGAGTCTCTCATCATGACAGGTGAGCTTCAATGAGTCCATTAAGAACCAACAATATTTCTCTTAATGATGAATATTTGTTGTATTTTTCTATACTTTGTGTGATCCTTCCTTGATGAATTGTTCATTCTGTTGCTTCTGTGTCAAAGAAAGCAAAGGAAGAGCGCGGCCAGTTCCCGTCCCACAACATGCAAAGAATCGTCTAGTTTCTTTGTGTAAGGATGTTCCATTCAAGGTCCGCTGTTCCTTATGCCACCAAGTGCTGATTTCACATCAAACGGCTCAAGCTCACTTTAAGTAGGTTTCATTATAACTTTATCCTGTCTGTATATGCTTTGCCTCTGAGAAGTGTTCATATATTTTTGAATTTCAGTTGCTTTTTGTCATGTTACAGTCACATACGTCGACGTATTCTAAGTGATACGCACATACTGAAGCATAATTGTGAAGTAGAAAGACTACCTTTTATTGCACATGCAGCTGAGATTCTCTTAGGCTTTGTCTCTATCAGTTTGCACATCTCTGGATCTCGTGGCAGGTTCTGTTTCATGTCTGGGTTGGTAAGCAGTCTGCCATACTCCTTTTCACAGGAGGTATTAAACGTTGCCATGTGAGATGATAACAGTTTATTATGTTCTTTTTCTCCATTTAAAATCTGCAGCTTTATTCCTGCCCTGTCTGCTGTTTCTTCTATCCCAACAATGTTGATCATTAAGAAAAGTTCTATTTATGCCAAAATCAAATTAAACACCCAGTTTGCTTTTAAAGCTAGTTGGTTCATTTAGATTTTATTTAGCGGTATTGAAGTTAGTTAGCCATTTTTAACTTATAAATGCTTATAACTTTATTTTCATGCATTACTTTGTATGGCTGTAACAGGTTTTGGGCCCACAATGGGGGCTCTTAACCAACCAAATATGACTAAAGACCAAAGATTTGGACTCTTTGAACTGAAGGCGCTAACGAAAAAGAGCAGTTTTAGTAGTTTTTCTGTGCTTTAAAAAAAATGTAATTTCTGGATAGAATTTCTGCAAAAATATAAGACAACAATTCTTTCAAGGAAAATTGTGTAACTTTTAGGCACCACGTGAGGTAGACCTTTAACCTTTAAGCTTAGCCCTCCTGAGGGCCACTGGGGAAATTGTGGCGTTAAAAAATTAACCACTTTCCCTCCAGCTTTTAGTCTCTGATATCAGAAGTTTTTGGACCCGCTGATTGAGAAGTCATGGAGGTACTAGTAAATAAATGCCCACATTCAACCCTCTAGATTAAACCCTAAATCAGAGAACCAAAAATATGTTTGATCTGGTAAGAGTCATTTTTATTGCCAAACAAATTATATATATAAAAAAAAAAAATTAGTAGAATCAGTTGGCAAGATTAAAGATGGCTGCCTGGTTTTTACTGACCCCTGTGTTTTCAAAAGAAGTCCTGTTTAAGTGCAATAACATCTGTGGCTGTAATATAACAGATGAGGAGTATTTAAAGGAGAGTAAATATTTTTGAATGGCGCTGCGAATTAATGTTCTCTTTTTTTCTCTTTTAGTGTGCACTGCAGGCAAGGCTGTGCTGTGGCCAAGTCTGACAAAACCATCGTGGACGTTATGAAACAGCTTCAAGTACGAGGCCAATGCCTCCTCTGCTCTAAGGTGTTTCTCAGCCAGGCTGAAATTGAAAGGCACAAAGACTCCACGCTACATGAGGTTGAGGTCAATCAGACCGTGGCCAAGGCGCTCCTTCAGTACAGCAGGTTTGCTGAGATTCAGCAAACTCAGGAGAGAGCAGAGGCCCAGGAGAAAAGAGCATCATATGGCCACGAGGTTGCTTTTAAAAAAAGAAACAAAGGAAGGAGTAACCACAGCGAATCTCCAACCAAACGGCAAAGATTGAGTCCTAGCGTGAGTGCCGACGGCAGCAGGGCTTCAGCGATGGCTTGGCTCTGTGAATGTGGCCTGCAGTTCTCTGAGGAGGCCAACGCCACTCATCATCTACTGGCCGCAAACCAGATTTTCCATCAGTGTGGCGTTTGTGGCAAACACATGGGGGAGTCTTCAGTCACCCGCCTGCATATGAGCCGCTTCCATGGGGGGGCGCACCTCTCCAACTTCCTTTTCTTCTGCCGCAAGTGCAAAGTGGAAATGCCCCGGATTGAAGACATCTTGCTACACGTGTCAGAAGTCCACAGAGGGCACACCTACCTCACAGAGAAGGAGGTTCCCCTCCATCTGGATGCCAAACCTTCCACTAGCATTGGGGCCGACTTGCCCTCACGCTCCGCACCTAAATGGCAGCGTGACGCAGTGGAGACCCAGCATTCGACAGCAGGGCAAACATGGATGTGCAGAATGTGCGAAGATGTCTTTGACTCGGAAGCGTCTGTCTTCAAACACTGCAGCGACGTTAGCAGTCACAGCTTTCAGAGATTCGTCTGCGGACACTGCCCCCAAAAGTTCTTCAAGGAATCCACCGTACGGCGGCACTGCATGAATGAGCATGACGGGCAGATAAAGAGCTCCTACTTCTGCGGCCTCTGCGACAGCATGCAGCTTGACACCGAGGATGAGTTCATGGAGCACTACAGGAAGGTTCACAGTAAGGACTACTACTGTATGGATGAGCCAGAAGATGTTCAGCCATCTGCTACTGAGGAAACTGATCAGCACTCATGCTCATGTATGGGTGGGGGAGGAGTCAAAGAGGAGAAGAAAGCCGTTTATACTCGATGCATGAGGAATCTAGCTGCAGAGGGAAGGTGTCAGTATGTGTGCGCTCCTTGCAGTGTGTCTCTGCCATCTTACGCACAGATGAAGGCCCACATCCACACAAAGCACGCAGCCTTGAACCTGGACAAGACTTTTGACGTAATATGCCAAGAGTGCCAGGAGAGTTTCAGCGGCGTGCCGAGGTTCCATAAACATTATCATTCCCTGCACTGCAGACTGGAACCGTGCCTGAGCTCCAGGGAAATGACGGGGGAGACGAAACCAGAACCTAAAACTGTAAAAATAATACAAGCTGTCGAGATCAAACCAGGAAGTGATGGTAAATCAGTTACAAAGTCGTGTTTATTAACATAGTTTCTGCAGGCTTTTAATCTGGATTTATGTTTTATGCAGAGATTGAAGATGAAACGCTGGTGAAGATTTTAAACACCAGTAGAGCCACTGATGAGGGAGAAGCACCTGAAGGTAAATAACCAATAGATGTTAAAGCAGCCAATTAAATAGGAGGGAGCAATACATATTTAGATTGCTATAAATCTGTACAAGACTATTTTTAATGATCCATCTTTCTGTCTATGATTTATTTTTTTCGAATAAACTAAAAGTTCTAGTTTTAATTAATCACTATTAATCACTCAAAAATGTTCTGTTTGTTTAAGACATTTCGATGCTTAGGATGTGAAAATAACCATTAACTTAACCGGGTAATTAGCCCACATCTTTATAATTAACTCTGTTTTATTCCAGATCAAGCAGATGAGGAAATGCAGCATGTGCTTTCTTTAAGTGCAGAAGAAGCAAGAGAGTCAACTACAGAGTCTGCTGGTATGAATTCACGAGACTAAGCTTGTTATTACAATGTAGTGTGTATTTTCCTATTAGAACCGTTATATACTGTTGATAGGTTCTGTCAATTACGGTTTTACTTAGTTTCTGTATGAATACCTGACATAATGATATGGGTGTGGCGGCTAGTGGGCATAGAGCTTGGAATCCTGAGGTTGTGAGGTCGAAACCCACTCCCACAGACTGCCACTCTGGGTCTATGAGCAAGACCCTTAACCCTTGATTGCGCCCTACAATGGCAGCCCACTGCTCCCCAAGGCGATGGGTTAAATGCAGAGGTAAATTTCTCCAATGTGAGATCAATAAAGTTCAATTATATTATTATTATTATTATACCCTAATGTTGATGCAGCAGTTAGCTGAAGGGAGTTTATTTAAAAAGTATTGTCTGCTTTTCCACTGACCTGAATCCCATAAGAGTCTATTTGACTCTTTGGGGGAAAACAGTCCTGGCTGCTTTAGTATGGATTTAGTGGAAAGCTCTCTGCAAAGCCATTACATAAAGGCAGAATGCTTTTATGTCTAAATGTTACCAGTTAGTTCCTCCTGTTTTGTATTTTACAAAAACCATCCATGAACCACAGATTATATTCACTTAAGTACTGTGTATCTTTAATCGTTTTAAACTTTGTTTAGAAATACTATCCCGGCTTCCTGCTTTGTTTTTCTAAAGTTAAAGAATGTTTTATTTTTATCACGTAGTTAACTTTTTGTGGTTTATTTAACGTGGATGCTGAGGTAAACTGCTTTGGTTGTTCTAGTTTCCTGTCAAGATTCAACAATAGAACTAAAGGAAGGAACAGAAGCTTCCTAAATCCTGCTGCTGCATTCGTACTTGCTTATAAAACGTTTTTAAAGAACTGAAAGGGAACTGTTTTATGAAGTTAGAAAAATGTCCCCTCTAAAAGTCATGCATATATTTATTGATGTAAAGTCTAAAGTTTGTTGTCCATTGCACCTGAAAATCAATACAAGCTATTTATGATTGAACTAATTATGGTTTTAAATTAAAGTAATGCTATTCTGTCAAAAAGCCCACTGATGTTCACTAAGGCTTTAAGTTAACAGGTGTGCAAAGTTAAAAAATGGATTCATTATAAGATATTGCCTTTTTTGTTGTTTTTCTGTTTAATAAATCATAATCTTGCTTTTCTGTTTTTTTTATCTTACAGATTTGGAAGAAGCTCTAAAAAGAAGTCTATTAGAATTCTAGGTACTTTAAACTCTGCTTTAATGACACACAGAGAGACATGTTTTGTACCTGTTCCAGTCTGATTTAATAAATAAATGATTTCTGTTTTACATTTACATCTGTTCTCATCTGTTCTCTGTTTAACATCATAAGTTACGTCTCCATCCTGTAGCGGACTGGTTGCATGTTTTTGAAGCAGGCTGCTTTTTACCTAGACTTCTACTGCAAAGAGTGAAGCACTTTGGTGTGTTGACATGTGGGCTATAGATGGCATCGGTGACACTGGGAGATTCCTCGGTTGGTCTTGTGACCACATTCTTGACTATTTTCACATCTCAAGTCTCAGGTTCCCTTTAAGAAGAGGAAAAGTATCTCATTTTTTTTTCTTCTGCCATTAAGTTAGTGTTAGTAAAAAAAAGGGTTAAAAAAATTGGAAACAAATTTACCCATATAGGATTTACACCCCAGTTTTATATTTGTCTATGTATTTTTAGGATTTGGCATTAATAAGAGACACAGCCAAGACCCTGAACACATCTAGAAAAGGTAGAATTGATTGGACAATGGATGGAGCTAAATACATGAACATTTATTAGTTTACTTATTTGGCTGCAACAGAGGAGTTGAAGCCAGAAGTCCACCATCCTGCAGAAGAGAATTCAGAAATGACCAGTATGGGATTGTTTATATCAGCAGCGTCCAAGTCCAGAGCTTCTATCCTGCAAATTATAGGTGCTTCCCTGCTGCAATGCATCTTGATTAAATGGCTGAATTTTCCCATCAGCAGAAAGGCTTATATAAAAGTTGCAGAGACCATTAATCAAAACATGTTCATTTTTTATGAAGTTGTGATAGATGTAAATTGAGAGTATATGTGATTATTCTTGGAAAAATGAAAGTCATTGATACAGCCTGGTATTTTGCAACAATTTAAAAACAAAATTCTCAATTTACAACAATAGGTGTAATTTTTAGTCTAGCTAAAATCTAGGGAGACATGCACCCAAAACAGCTGCAAAAACAGGTTTCTCCTTCACATGGATTTTAATACAGATGCAGACGCCTCAGATTTGTATTTGTAAAAAAGGCTAATGACAATTATGTGCTAATATATTTCAATTACCGGTAACAGTGGTGTGAAAAGTACTTACTTGTTACTTAAGTAAGTGTATAGATACTGCTGTTCAAAAACACTCTGGTTAAAGTTGAAGTATCAACTTGACCTCTTTAATCAAGTAAAAGTGAAAAAGTATGTGCTCCAAAAACTACTTAAAGTATAAAAGTATAAAGTAACATTTAAAACAAAAAAACAGCCAGATGCCACTATATGAGTTGAAAGCTCAATTTTTCAACTATTTCGAAAAATTCTTTGAGATAGGACCAAGGATGAGGGAGGTCAAGGGAGGTCTCGCCTGTGTCCGACATTTCAACATCTTTTTCTGAATCCGACATTGTAGCATGGCATAGACAATTCACGTTTGCCGTTTTAAGAACACCTGCTTGCTTCTGATGATTTCCTTTGGCGTCAGCACAAATTAACTAATCAATGAGTGTTTGCGTTATATGACTCATCCATTTACACTAGTTTTCACTAGATGTGGATGGCACCAATGATCTGCATTGGATCGCGCACATGACGTGAAATAAATGTTTGTAAACATTAAACCGAAGCCAAGAATAACGAGTAACGTTTGTTTTAAAAATATAAGGAATAGAAAGTACAGATACTTGTGGGAAAATATAATGAGTAGAAGTCACTAGTAGAAAGAATAATAAGTAATGGAATAAAGAATAGATACAGTGTACTTAAGTACAGTGACAAATTATTTGTACTTCTTTACTTGACCCCTTTGTCAATGAATGAATGTTTGTGATTAAGTTGCAATGTGAAAATAGATTCTTTTGAAATTAAACTTGAATAACGATTACCTTTTATCAATAAATATTTCAAAACAAAATATGTATACGGTAGGCTTAAAATAGTGTAAGGTTAAATTTTCACCCTGTTTTGCATCATACCACACCAACAGAAGGGTAGCCAGAACATTTTTGTAAGGGTGGCCAGGCATTAACCAATGTACACTGGAGCGTGGCCTAAGGCGGATAGGCGCCAGAACCTCAGTCAAGCTACACTGTTTCAACAGGAAAATTAACTAGCAAAATATCCATATTTTCTAAATAAAGACAAACTATACTTTCCTACAGCCTTTGCTAAAAAGAAGACGCATATATTTAAATATCCGTGCTTTCTAAATATAAGGTATAGCGGATAAAATTCTTTCAGTTTTGAGTTCTGGGGTGTCAGTTTTTTCCATTGTCATTGTATCTATAAACATTCTGCATAAAATTAATTGAATATCTTATATCTAAGCACTAATATCTACATAAATTGATTATTTGATAAGTTTTTATTAAAATTGTTATTTATCCATGATTTCACTGAAGACACTCATTTAACTTGCAGAGAAACATTTTCTGTTTACCCCAAAAAACACAAAATCTAGTTCTGAAAAGAGCTTCTGTATTTATCATCTTTGATGTTAGTATTTCAGTGTGTATAATTAAACACAAAAAATCTAAATGTTATGAAAATTCCACTTGAGAGTATTACTGCTGCCACCATCTGTCAACCAGCTGTCTCACTGTGTGGTGTGGAGGCTGCTGCGCCTCAGACTGGAAGAAAGTGAGAAGAGTAGTAAGAACTTCAGAGAGGATCATCGGGGCTCCTCTTCCCTCCATTAAAGACATTTCACCCCAGCGCTATGTGTCCAGAGCCTTTAACATCATCAATGACCCTTCAAACCCTCACCATGGGAAGGGGCTTCGAAGCATTGGGTGCAGGTCCAGCAGTTTCCACAACAGTTTCCTCCCCACCGCCATTAGACTACTTAATGTTGTGTAAAATGGGTTATTTTATTTATAAAATAGATAAATAAAAAACTGAATGCAAGAACTGTAAATATACAGTCACATGTTTATATTGCTATTTTTTTATGTATTTATAACCGTTTTCAAGGCTGCACTTTAAAAAAAATGAAATTAGCTAGAGCTGTTTTAAATGAAATTTATTTTTGTTTACACTCGTGCATACAAAATAACAAAATAAATCTGTCAGTATTAGAGAGAAAAAAATGGTAGCGGTGGCCACAGAGGTGGCCAATCAATGGCGTAACTATCGGTAAGCAGAAACTGTAGTTGCTTAGGGGCCCTGACCTTTTAGAGGCCCTGTCACTGACTCCTGGTAGGCCTCCCTACGCAATAGTGCCGTAGGACGTCTCATTGAAGATGTAATGCTGTGAAAAATTCCTATTTCACACACCTGATGCTGACCTGTCTGACCGGTCCTTATTTATACCCCAACACATGCCAGATTTCAACATGATGTTGAGCCGTTTAAACACGACACCAATAGCAAAGCAGACAGTGGTACTTTTAATTACTATGTTAATAACTGTGTATAGTTCATTAGATGGTTGGAAAAAATACACTCAAATAACATCTTTCAAAACTCAATAAAGATCTTAAAAGAATGATGTTTTTGAGTATTTAATTTTTAACACTATGAGTTGGAATTATGGATAATCCAGATAATGTTGCTTTTGGGCCTATTGTTGAATCATGCCATTTTGGCCTATGATTGGGTAAGGGTGGCCATGGCCACCCCTGGTCCCCCATCTAGCTCCGCCCCTGCACACCAATCTTTTACATTGCAAAATTGTTAACAAAGAAAAAATTAAAAAGATAAATTTAAAATGAATAGGCTATAATCAAATAAGTTGGACCCAGTGACCATTCCTCTGGCCGTCCGGGGGTCCCCGGTCCACACATTTAGGATCCTCAGCTCCGGGCTTCTCGGGAAGCTTCCACAGGCGCGTGGAGGAGGAAGTGTCAGTCCATGTTTGGAAATGTTCCCCTGTGGCTCTGCTCCGCTTCAGTGGAAGGAAAAGCGCTCAGCTGGAGAACACGCAGTGCTGGACTCCCATCCCATTACCGCTCCCGACTTTAATAACAGAAACAACAATCCTCATCGTTCCTATCAGCATGGCTCAAGCAAAGATCCAGGCCAAGATGAACGAAGCTGCCTGCAGTAAGTTCAGCAGGACGCTGTCCATGGCTGATCGCTCCGGACGGCTGCTGGAAACTTTGGATCAGCTGGAAATAAGGTAGAGTAACGGGCCTGGACACGTGGGCCACGCTAAACCCACGAGAGTTACCCATATTATTGAAAATTAAAATTTAAGTTGTGTAATATTTAACAAGTGCTGACTGGGAAGCACAAATAGCCCCTCTGCTTGAAGCTGTTTAGGAATAAATGCTCTTTGATGGTGATGATTCACTGTTGTTTTTTTTGTCTTATCAGGGTGGAGGCTTTACGCGAAGCCGCATCTGCCATGGAGCAGGAAAGGGAGAGCATCCTGGAAATGATTCAGTCTTTGCAAAACAGTCAAGAAATGCGTAACATCTGTCCGGGTGAGGCTGCTAATTCTCCTCCAGCTTGCATGAGGTCAAAAAAAGTTCTCCACAGCTTAATGCCACAGAGCAGGAACATCAGAGATGTTTGTATTAAGCTGCTCTTGTTTTTTCTGCAGCATTGTGATCCGATGAGGTTATGCATGTATGGGTGGAGGTGATGATCAGGAAGCTGGACAATAACACAGCAACTAGTCCTCCACCCACAATGACTTTACATGTATATAAGTCCAGATCAACTCAGCACAATAGTACCCTATAGAAAACAATCCACCCATACAGCTGGATCTGATTTCCAATAAAATTAGAATAAAAAAATATATCTTATTATAGAAATGTTAGCATTCTGAAAAGTATCTATATGCAGTATCTACATTTAGTGCTTGAAATAAGTTCATTTTGCTTGAATGACCTCATCGATGAGAAGGCATGGTGACGATCTGCCTCTGGCTCTTAGCTTTAATGCCAGTTTGCTGGTTAATAAAGCATTGAAGCAGCTACTAAGTCCTAATGGGAAATTAAATCAGCATATCTATACAGCTTCTCAGCAGAGGGAGGAATGAAATGCTCTAAAACGTTGCATTAGATGGTAATGTGGCTTTGGGCTAGATAAAACCGACAGCTTACGATGAAAACCTCAAGCTGCAACTTATACAACGAATTTGACTTTAATTAGAGTAGCTTTAGACGGGGAATCAAACAGTGGGAGCCTGTGTAATGAGCACATCAGTGTCAGTGGCTCTTGAAGCATCGACTGCAGCCTGCAATTTGGGAATCAAACTTGGAAATTTTATTTTGTTTTAGTTTATTTCAGTTTTAGTATGCACATATATAGCTCAGTATGTTTGGATGCACTGAGCTCCTTTAACTTTAGGTGTAGCGGGTGTCAATAGCAACCTTCCCTATGTTTGTGTGTGAATCCAACCTAAGTATTCACTGTAACTGTGAAAAATAAACTTTACAGACACCTGGCTTAACTTTTTAAGCCTATTTTAAATATTCTCTATCTTAGCTTTAAATGAAACCTGGATCTATCATCCATTATTACAGATGCAGTAATAGTTCTCACAAAATAGATTTACAAAGTTGTTCTTTGAAACTCCAATGAATTAGATTCAGAAAAAAGTGACAATGAAGTTTGTCTTTCTTTCAACTGATAAGCAAGGCGTCGGTATAGTGGCGGAAGGATGCATCAATATAATTATTTCTTATATTTTGAAGGTGAGAGAGAAGAGTTGACTTTAACCGCCGACCGTCTGATGGGCCGAACGCTGTGTGTGGAGATCTCTATTGGCACAATCAGGAACCCCCAGCAGGAGGAAGCACTGCAGAAGGCAACATCTATAATAGATGAAATAGTGAAAAAGTTACTGAGTGACATGGAAGGTGCTCGGCACCAGCTGCTGGCCCTGCACGCGGCCTGTGTAACTGAAGCGCCGCCTGTCCCCATTGACCAGAAGTTTCAGGCTGTAGTGATCAGCTGCGCTCTGGAGGACCAGAAGAAGATCAAGAGGAGGCTGGAGACTCTGGTGAGGAACACTGAAAACGCTGAGAAGAACATCAAGATCATGGATCACCAAAAACTTGATGATACAAAAGCCAATGGAGGACACTAAGGCTGGTTATAAACACACCTAAAGCCTGTGTTTAATTCCTCTAACCTCATGAAGAATTGCTGTAAACTTTGATGGATTTAATTAGTTTTAGAAGACGTCTACCTGTTGCAGCAAAGCAAGTCTTTTTGGGAAACAGAAAAATACAGTGCCTCCCAAAAGCAGCCATAACACCTGATTTTTTATACTGCAACATCAAACCTCAATGTATTTTATTTGGATTGTATGCAACTGATTGGCATAATCTTATAACGTAGATGTTTTAATTAGAATAAAATGGCTACCATGTCTTTCCTATTGAATTTTTTAAACTGTACAGGTACAAAAATACATTGAAGTTTGTAGTTGGCATAAAACAAAACATTTAAGAGTTCAGGGCAAAAAAAACCCCAAAAAACATAAGGGATGAAAATGCTTTGAACAATAAAATAAAAAAGGGAAATATTGTTTACACTAATTTTATCCATGTTCACAAAGTCAGGAGTTGATTTTAACAAATTGCACTTGATGCAACATTGTGGCACTATTTCTACATTAGACTAGAACTTTTCAATTATAAGTAAACCATTTTTAGTATCCAAATACTGTATAAACATTATGAGAATACTACTCTACAGTTGCTTTATTTTAGCTTAGTTGAGTCATTCAATTAAGTATTTTTGACTGTAATCTTTGAACCTCACCTTAGGTAGTTTGAAGGATAAAGGATGCACTTAACACTACCTCCTTGTGTGACGGCACTAACACACACTGTGCATTTTAAAATGTTTTCAGTTTGTAAAAAAAAAAAAATCAATAAAAATCTGAAGAAAAAAAAAAAGTGGCCTGAATTCGTATTTTAGAAAGTTACTTTGACAGACTTACTAATGGTACAATCACAAAAACACCAGAGGAATAAAACGTCTTTTATTCATCAACTTTCCTTCAAACACTTCCGAACCAAAACATCCGTCTGCCATAAGTCAGACTCCATCACACTGGGACACGTCGCTTTGTTTAAATGCGTGGGATTGGTTTATGAAGGTCAGTGTTGGTGGGAGAAAAAAAAAAAAAAAAGCAGATTACAAGAGATTATTATTCCACCTGAGTAACAACACATATTAATGGTAATTTTTTTATGTAGTGTCTTAAGATTTCATTTAAATGATAAAGTGCACAAGAGTCATTCAGTCATGATGTTACTGATAATGTTATAAATTGAGTAATTATTTACAGGATTATCATCTAGACAATTTTACATAAGCGGCAAGAGGTGGGATTAAAACCTTTGCTATTTCATGTAAACATTGCTGAACATTCACTGGTGTGAAAGAAGAGAGAAATGCTTTCAGTACCATAGGTGTCAACGTGGAACACATTTAAGCACCTTTCCTTAATTTCAGAATTAAATGTAAAATAAAGGTAAACATCAGAGAGCATTTTATAGTAATTAACAAAACATGCATACATTGATAGTATAAGACTTAAAGGACGCTACAGCTGTAGCCACATGTAGAATTGAAATGTTTGTTTTAATCCTGGTTTTAATACCAGACCTTCTCAAAGGACTATATAAGTATGTGTGCTTGATCAAAAACAACAAAAAATGAAAGGCTTGACATAAAAAAGGCATACACATCCAGGCTCTCAGTTCAGTGCCCTTTTGTTTTTCTTTTAAACATCAGGCAGAGCATATAAATACTTTAATATCCTGTCCTAATGGTCGACTTGAGCCACTCTCTGAGAGCAGCGGTTTTACATTCTGTCAGTGACTTACTGCCACAGGCACAGATGTTACTTAGCAGTAGGCTTTTAATCTTGTAGGCTTATGCCTGAACATCTAAAATGTTAGAATTCAGATGATCACATCCTGAACTTTGAATGTCACCCTGAATTCTAGCATTTACAGCCGAATAGAAGTCAAAGGAAATTAGGTTCAATGATTTTAGAATAGTATGGAAACAGGTGCAAAGAAAATAAGGTATCATAATTATAATCTGGGTCAAAGACGAGTAGAATTAATTTATCTTCTAAATAAAAGTCATATATTTTAGTGTACATAAAATGATTATTTGTGTTATTGTTGATTTACAACTGAGGACCAGATTTAAGGTTTAACCCAAGTCACTGAAATGTGATTTTTAACCACTCCGTGAGAGTAAATTTGGCACATCATAATAACTCAACACTGTTGTGCTTCATACAAAAATACTATTCACCTTTGGATCTGTTAGGGATAAATAATAATAGTTTGAACCATATTCTGTTAATTGCTAGAAAAATATGGTACAAAATTAATCTGTGCATCTTTTAACAACACATGGAAACATATTGCACAGCATATGTGTAGAACACAGAGTTGGTTGAAATAAAAATCTACATACTAGAGGAATTGTTTCCAGAATCCAAGTGCAATTTCTGCTGTAAGACATCTGGATTCCTTTCTATATATCAACACACATTTGAGGAGGGGGAAAAAAAAGAACCAACACACAAATGAAAATTAATTTTTGACAAAGATTGCAGCTGTTGCTTTTTTATAAGGCAATTGTAGCTGGGGAGCAACTGTTGTACACAAATTGCCTGGTTTGTCTGCAGATCATTTAATGAGGAATTGAAAATGGTGAGATATTGATAGTCCAAGTCTTTTGTAGACTGGCATCCAGGTAACAGAAGAATGACTAATGCTATCTAAAATATAAATGGAGTTCACTGAAATGAAATGCTAGATTGTTGAAAACGTCTTCAGAGCAAACTGCAGCCTCCAAAGGGATTTTTACTCTTCTTCGTTCTCTGTTTATTGGGTCGTAGAGTGATAACTTCTCTGCCATTGCTGGAGCTCTGGTTGCTTACATTACCACTAATGGTATTGAAGACACCTTTTGAAGAAATAAAAATAGTATTATACTGTACCCAGATCTATGAAATGTAGCATAAATATTCATAAAAAATCAAAACACATTTACCTATTTTATTGCTTGTTGAGTGGACCACATCTGTTTCCTCTGCTGTTTGCTGCTTGAGTTTCTGCAGATACTTATCAGCCAAGTACTTGAAAACTAAAAAAAGATGTATTTTATTATATTTAAAGAGTGATGCACCTCCATTTGTATCAATCATGCGATAAGCATTGTTATTCATTGCTATTACTTACCCTCATTGACATTCAGATCCTCTTTAACAGATGTGCGATAAAATCTTAGTTTAAGCCTTTTAGCCAGAGCTTCCGCCTCCTCACTGAAATTGAAAAACAAAACAAAAGAAGGTTTAAAATCAAATTATTTTTAAGGTCATACATTTAGTGTTCTACATGCTACTGTTGTGCAGTTCAGATAACCTAATGACTTACTTCTTTATTACAGTTTCCTCCAGGAGATCAATTTTATTTTGCACCAGGACAGTGGGAATATTTCCAACCTCAGCCTCCACCTTCTCCCTCCAGCTGTCGATGGCTTGAAATGACTCCCGATCTGTTGTCGAGAAGACTAGCACACAGGCTTGAGCACCTGCATGCAACAACACAATCCCAGTTTAAAAGCTGTTGTATCCCCTACAGACATCTTATCAAAATATTTGAATTGTATTTGCTGTTGCCATTTACTTTGAATGGTTCAAAGCAGTGAGGCAACTGGACCTTAGATACAGTCAGAATAATTTAGAAATCAGACAATTGCTTGACAGAAAATCAACAGAAGCATAAGAGTTACAATGCATTGCAGAAGTATTAATTCTCCATAACAACCACAACCTTTATTATGTATGTTTAGTAAAAACTGATATAAAGACAGTCGAAGTGGAAAGAAAAGAAAAAGACATGCATCCAGGAACAGAAATATGCAGACTGCATAGGTAATCACCACCCTTCACACAGGCAAATCCAACTCAACCAACTGCATTCAGAAATCATGTGTAATAAAACTCTATGAATTAAGATGTCTTGTGAATGTTTTACAACGACACATGAAACAGCCGTTATCTGATTTTTCCACTCGGGGACCTAGTTTTAAAAATTATGATTTATACAATACCAAAATACCCCATCTGTTTGGATGCACAGTTTTAACAACAAACATTTGCGGTTACAGCTATTCTCATCTCTGTGTGGATGTACCATTGTAGACTCATTTACAGCCAAAGGTGGGAAAAGATAAAAGTAAAACTTTCTAGTACATATAGAGACATCTTTAGATACGTATTTGGTAAAAGATGTTTAACAATTACTGTCCTCCCAATTTACATTTATGAGCTACTGATCTATGAAAAGAAAACAAATATTACAGTTCAAAGTTGATAAATGACAAAAAAGGAATATATTCAAGAGACAACATGCCTCTTATAGCCTCTTGGTATATTCTATCAGTATGATCTTACCTCTGTAGTAAGCCTTGGTAATGGCATCAAACTCTTCCTGCCCAGCAGTGTCCCAGAGCATTAAAAGGACCTCTTCATCATTTACACTATAGAGGAATGCAAGAGAGTAGGAACATTGTTTACTTTTGTTTTTCAGACTAATGATATATGAATGAGTGTTCAGAGCGTAACAACATCTGAGATTACTTACACAATCTGTCTTTCTAGAAAGTCCACCCCAATTGTCTTCTTGTAGTCTTTTGTGAAAATGCCCTTGCAGTAACGCTGGATCATACTGGACTTCCCAACAGCTCCATTCCCGACTACGACCACTTTGATGGCCACTTCCATGTCCTCTTCCAACATGGTGGCTGGTTTTCTTGGTTTCACTCAGGGGTTTTAATGATGCGACGCTAACATACACCAACTGAAAGTAAAGAAAATTTAAAATAATCAAATTTAAATTAATATGTGGACACAGGGGACATGCAGGTCCTAAAAGTACACAAAGGAAGCATAAAGAAGCAAACTATATTTACACAATTCATAACAAAGGGCAATGCAAACAATGTTAGGACAAACATCCACTTTGTCTCTGCCATAAAATAGGGGGGAAATGTTTCAGTACGCTGTATTTTTCCTCATCATTACAATTTGTCACTACAGAACAAAATATTTATAGTCATCTATAGCTACAACTGCAATATTCAAAGTGAGTAAAATGTCGTGCGACAGGTGGCATAGCGGCAGAGCAGGATCCCAACACGCTGACTAAAGTCTTCATCACAGCAGTCCAAGGTCCTGACTTTGGTACCTTTGCCTGATTACCGAGACAAAAATACTTTAGGATCTTCTCTCTACGTGTTTTAGCAACAGGAACACATTTAATAGGGGGATACAAAAAAGAAAAAAAAAAAAATCAAGGTATCTTTTAATATAACTTGAGTAAATAGGAAAAAAAAAACACTTTTTAAATGACTTTAAATGCTCTCCATTTATCAAAGCCAACAGGGATTGCCTCCCAGGCTTTTAGTGACCAACACCTACATCTGATCAGATCAGGAAAGATGTCATTTGTTAGTCAACAAACAGCTTAATGCTGTAAATGCCTACTAAAAGAAGAAAATAAATATTATAAATTCCACAGGGATTATGACTAAAGCAGCCATCAGCCTGTTTATTCTCCCATTAGTAACGAGAAGTGCTGCTTCCACATGGCAACCGCGTCCTCCTCCACTTTATGTATGCAGCGACTGACTGCAATGCTAAAACAACATATTGTTGCAAAGCTGTTCTCTGCGGGCACCGACGGCCTACTCTGACAGCCTCTGACAGAGTTTGATTCTGCAGAGGAAATCATTATTCATCAGCTATAATTAAGCTCCATCATGCATGCCATCACACATATGGCTAAACCAACAAAGAAAATAGTGCTTTTACTGTTTAGTTACTTTATTTTCACAATCCAATGTAGAGGTTCAAAGACTCCTATTTCATTTTAATATAATTTTTAATTTCACACAGGCAAGACAAAGTAATGAAATATGTCTGTCATGTAGCCTGTAGTAAGTATGTTTTGATTAGGAACAATGACAGGTGATATAATTACTAATTATGGTGGCTAAACAACTTGGTCAGATCATCTTTAACACTAAGTGGCTGATTTTTGCTTTGATTTTCACAGATCTCACAGAGTTCACTCAACTTATTAAACTTGAAGCATATGCTGTTAACTATCTACCAAGGTACCACATGACAGAACATTAACACACTATTACTACTGGGACAATAGAGTAGAATAGAATAGGGTAGAATAGAATAAGGTAGAGTAGAATAGAATAGAATAGAATAGGAAATCCCTTTATTGTCCCACAATGGGGAAATTCTTGTGTTAAAGCAGCAAAAAGATTGTAGAAAAAATGCTAACACAAATGTGGACCTTAGAAGAGTATATAAAAATAACATAATAGTGAAGAGTGTACCGTAAAGTGTTTTAACAATATAAATACTATGGATGTGGAGAATAAATAACCAATATACAGCTGTAGACATTTTTACAGTAATGGACATTTGAAAATAACAGCAACATCAGAAATGTTTAAAATGACAGCAGCATGTTATTTAATAACTAAGATAGAAACTAAGCAAAAATCAGCATGAATGTAACAACTTTTTACTTATTATATAAAGTGTTCCAGCTGCTGGGAGGAAGGATCTGTGATAATGCTCACTGATGCACTTAGGGTGCAGCAATCTGTCACTGAAGGAGCTCTACAGTTCTGCAACAGCTTCAAATTAACACACTATTAACTAGATGTTCTGTCTGTCTCTATTTAAAGTGAACTCAAAGTGTGCCACAATATACTAAAGTACCTGATAAATAAGACTTTGCTCACAGGATATTAAAGGTCAAACGGATGAAAAATGGCCCCATGAGAAAGCTGTTTTGCTACCCTTCACACTGCAAAGTGAGTTTGCAAACACAGAAGGTGCGCACTGAAAATAACAGACACTTCATTTGAATAATACATGTGAAAGCCAATACACATGTGTTTTGAACGAGGAAAGAGATCTTCACAGATTCAGTTATTTTACAGGCCTAAAGGCGGCCGAAAGTCATATTTAGACTTTTTTTTTAAATCAACTCAGTGACATATAACTCTGCTCCTTCTCTCAGTTTGCTCACACTAAATGTTTAGGGTAGGTTTTCTAATGATGATGAGAATAAATGTGCGTTTTAATTCCCTGCCACCTATTTCTCCTTTCTGGTCAAGATGTGACCTGTTGCTGGCATGGAGCAACTGCAAGAGCCGAGCAGCTGCTCCTCAAAGCTAGCTGACGCAGCCGCATCAAGTCTGGATGAATGGGAGACAATATAAACTACACAATATGGTAATTCTGTACTTACCTGTAAAATAAAAAAAATAACAATAAAAAACAGTCACCACTTCTTCACCAACATTAGGTCAGCTAACCGGCCAGCCAGCCCACAATGACATATCTACGTCCACGATTTGCTCCGCTCTGCAGCCAGTGGAGACGCCAGGCTAGGATGCTAAGGTTAGCTAGCTCAGGTTAGCCACTTTTCGACGAGAAAGCAACTGGGCGTCAATGGTTACTGTTTCATAAGGGGACAGAATAAGTCATTTTGCCCGTTATAATTACGAATAACAATGTATTTAGTCGCTAAAGTTGGGTCAACTCTTAAAGCATTAACTGGGTGGAAAAACATTCATATCGTTTAGTAAGCTACGTTTGCTCTACCGGAGCTGAGATGCTAGCAGGGGCTCGAGTCGCTAATGCTTGTTGCTAAGCAGCGGAGCCAAAGAGTGCAGAACGCAAGAGAGGAATACGCCTGTTTCCTTTGGATCGTTTCTAGTTCCAAAGTCACGAGTCACGACTGTGAATCGTTCGAAAATTTACCGTTAGTGTCTGGCTGCTTTTAAGATTAAGTAAAATTAAAAATTTAAAAAATAAATTAAGTTTCCAAAGTAATGGCAATTCTCCAGAAAACAACTCATGAATGTTATTATTCCGGAAACAATGGTAGACTATAAAACATGAAATAAAACCGCAACAGCAAAAATAAATAAATAACAAGACAACAATAGAAGGAGTACCCTCTCACAAAGACCTTCAGTTTTGTAGTTACGTATATATTAATAATGCATGACAACGTTTGTATATCAAAATGATTCAACAGTATGATTAAAGTCAGAATTCTGAGAGAAAAGTCAGATTTCTGATGATTAAAGTCAGAATTCTGAGAGAAAAGTCAGATTTCTGATGATTAAAGTCAGAATTCTAAGAAAA